GGACTGCAGGGGCTCTTGGATCCAGCACCATGTGATCTTTGGCACAACCCTGCTTTGGGTTGGGGTTCCTGGCCTCATGGGGCTGACATCTGGAAGCTGGCGCATTGCAAGGACTTGCAGAGCCTTTAGCTAGGGGCTCTGCCTCCCCTGCCACGTGGCTAGGGTCCCACAGCCGGAGGCGGCTGTGGCCAAACACATGCTCCAAGTGCTGACCTCTTGCTGGGCCATCCTCCCCCTCACTGCAGCTTCCCAGCCATGGCCCTGCCAAGCCCACCGCTGTTCACCTCCACCCTGGGACCCCATCCTGGGCAGCCCACACCAGGAGCCGTCAGAGCTCGCCTCTGGACATCTCGGCTGCCAAGGTTTCCTGCTGGGCTCCTGCCTCTCTGGCTACTACAGACTTGGAGATTGTTCACCAGTTCCCATGTCCTCTTCTGGCACTCACAGGGGACAAGTCCACCAGGGGAGTGCCCCAGTGGCTGGTGGAGGCTGCATGTCCTCCTGGCCATGGAGTGGACCTGGCTGGGCGGCTGCCCTCTTGGGCACACTCCCTGCCAAGAGCCGGCTCTGCCCACAGCCCTTGTCAAGCTCCCTCTCCTTGGAGCACAGGTCACTCTGACCTGGCACTGTCACCAATCTGGTCTATTTCCCCCCAGAAGAGTGTTGAGTTCTGGATGGACCACCCACCCCCAGTCAGGGCTTGGGCAAATGTGAGAACTGACGGGCCTGCACGAGTGTGGGTGTAAGAGGGTGACAACAAAGATGCAAACACACAGAGACAGAGAGGGGCAGCGTCCACAGGCAGTCAGAGCACCTCTCGTGATCTGCCTGAACCTTTCTCCTGCCACGTGGGTCCCTGCTCAGGGGCGAGTGTGGGCTCAGCGAGGCCAGGGTCATGAAATCAGTGGGGCTGTGGACTCCAGTGCCTCGGTGCAGACCCCTGCATTTCCCTGACCCTGTGTAGACCGTATTCTACCCAACCTGCTTGCCCTGAGCTCAGCTGGGGTCACCTCTGGGGTCCTCTGTGGGGCTGTCCCTTGGTCCATCTGGTAGTGCGAGTTGAGTAAAGTGGCTCCACTGGGGAGAAGTGACCTCTCTTTCCTGGACCTGAGGACACTGGAAGGGCCAGGCTAAGCAGACCCTCAAGACCCTCAGATGTCTGGGAACAGGTGATCACTCTACAGAGCACCTGCCCCCAGACCTGCACAAGGCCTGGGGCTTCTACCCACCTCAGATGAATGGTTGTGGGAGAGAGGAAATGTGCTTCTCATATTCCTGGGGATCAACTGGGGCAGACCAGCCCAAGGGGCTCCCTGCAGCCCTGCGGTAAGTCTTATGTCCTGTCCCTAGGCCCACCCTTCTGGGCACCCCCCCACCTTGCCCCTTCTGCCCCAGATCCAAGTGACAGGACCTGTCAGCAGGAGGAACGGACAGTGCAAGGCCCACTCCTGTGGCCATGCAATCCAGGGATGCTGCAGCTCTGTTGTGTTCAGAGATATGTGCCCTGGGGCCTGGGCCTCCCCCAGGGTCACTGGGTCCCTTGCTGGCCAAAGGGTGGCTGAGTGGAGGGTGCTTCCCACCCCGACCCCCGGGGAGCATTCCTGGCTTCCTCCATGCCGTCCCCCGCCCCTTGCTGCTCGCCTGCTGAGCATGGCCAGTCTGCTGCCTGGCACTATGGGCGCTGGAGAATAGGTGGATGTGAGCCTGTGCATCTCTGAGTTCTGGGCCGAGCATCCCTGGAAAGTCCGAGGAGCCTGAGGAGTGGGCTCCCAGGGTGGGGTGGGGGGCAGGACAGCTTCAGGTTCCAGCCCAGTCCCGGCAAGTCCTGATGACTCAGGCGGGAGGGCACTGTGACAAGTTCATGGTGGTCACCAGGGGTGTCCACGCACCGACCAGGGGTGCAGTCCAGCCTAAGCCCCTGGAGACCGGGACCCCAGCCTCAGCCCCTCCACGCCCCTCGCGCAATCTCTGCGCAGGACCGCAGGGCTGGTCGCGAGCCGAGGGACAGGAGGCGGAACAGCGACCTTGCAGCGACCCCGCACTCCGCCGCAGGGGAAATCCCGGAGGCCCCCGGGAGGGGGCGGCGGGGCGGGGCGGCCCGGGCCGCAGTGACCTTCATGCGTCCCCGGCCGCGCGGGTCGCCGGCCGCCCTCAGTCCCGGGCCCAGCCCCCTCGCCGCAGCCGCGCCCACTGTCCTGGGGTGGGGGGACTCTCGACCACTGTCCCACGAGAATGACAGGCGTGGCTCTCTTTCCGCGACTCTCTTACGCTGAAAAATAGGTCCGGGCGGGTCTGCGGGTCTCTGCCAGGGGCTGGGTGGGTTTTCAGGAGTCCGGGGGCTCCCGTCTCCCGCCCAGCGGCGCGGGAGTCGAGAGCGGCGGGGTTCGCGGTCTCCGGTGGCGCCCAGGGCCGCTCGGCCGGGTCAGGACTCCCACCGCCCGCGCGGAGTATGGGGAGGGGGCCGCGGCCCCCAGCTCCCGCCCCAAAAGAAAGGCGAGGAGCGCGTCTCGGCCCCGCGCGCCCGCGGGAGGAGCCCCGCGCCGGCGGGCGGGGCGGGGGTGCGGAGCCCCGCGTGCGGAGGGCGGTCCCCGCCGGGGCGCTGCGGGGGCGGAAATGGGGGCTAGGCCGCCGGGCGGGCCGGGGTCTCGCGCGCTGGCCCGGAGGGCTCGAGCCGCGGAGCCCCGCCCCCACCCGGAGCCGCGGGGCCCCGCCCTCCTCCTCCTCGTCACGCCGGGCGCGGGCGGGGGCGGGGGCGGGGGGCGCCTCCACGTGACGCGCCTCCTCGCGGTGCCCTTCAGTCGCCGCCGCAGTTCCCCGGGCGCCACATGGACCCTGCCGGCCGCCCCGCGCGCCGCCGCTGACAGCCCGCCAGTCCGCGCGCCGGCCGGGAAGGTAACCCACGCCCGCGCGCGAAGCCCCCTGCCCCGGCCGCCGCTGTCCCGGCTCGGCCGCCCCAGTCCTGCCCCGGAGGGTCGCGCACCCTGCCGGTGCTGGCGCTGTCCGCCGGCGCGGTGCTGAAGCGTTCCGCGCGCCTCGGCCCGCGCCCTGCCTCTTTCTTGCCCCTTCTCCGAGTCCCCGAGTCCCCGAGTCCCCGAGTCCCCGAGTCTCGGGCCCCTAGCGTCCCCCCTTCCGCACCCTCGTTCTCCGTCCCTTTCTTTCTCCCCGCGCGCTCCCGCCTCAGGGCCGCTCGGCAAAGCCGGGCAACTCACCCGCGCCCAAAGCCGAGCGCTGCGGCGATGCGAGCCCCGGGGCGCCCCAGCAGCACCCGAGCCTCCCGGCCGTGGGCCCTTCGGCCCCTTCCCTCCCGGGAGCCCAGGGAGAAGTTTGGAAGAGAACCTGCTTTGCGGCAAAAGCGCCCGTGCGCCAGCGCTTTCCGGGAGGAGGGGGCTCTCCCGCCTGGCTGCCCTTCCCCAGCCCGAGGGCACACCGGTCTCTTCTGCAGAGGAAAAAAAAAACACTGAACCTCCAGAGACCTGGGTTTCCATGCCAGGAGAGACCTCTCGAGCTGTGGGTGGCGGGGAGGCTGCAGCTGCTCATCTTACACTACAAACCTCCCCAGCAGCGGGCTGGCCCCTGGAGCGCCCAGCCTTGCAGATGCAGGGGGAGCGGTGGTCTGCCCCCATTTCCATTCGTTCGCCTGAGGCCAAGCCCCCTTCAGTTTCTGACTTCCACCCCAGTCCGCTATGGGCAGGTGGCAGGGGGTGCTGGGACCTTGAGGCCCTGGACAGAGCCTGGTCCCCTGGGACTCCTCCATCAAAGGAGACCTCCCTGAAGGGGTGCCCACTCAGGCCCCACCCTTTCTAGCACTTCCTGTCGCTTAGATGGTCCCCCACCCCTGCGGTCCAGGCCCACCTAGGAGGCTGCAGAGCCAGTCACCTTCAAACGCCCCCTGGGCCTGTCGCTGCTTCCCGCAGGCTGGCTTCTCTGAGCTGGGCCCCCTGATCGGTGAGGACCCTCTCATCTCTGCAGTAGCAGCTGAAAACTGGCTTCAGAAACCCCCAGGGTCGGGTGAGGCCACTTTACAGGTCTGTCTAGGGTCCTAGGATCTGTCCACCCTGGTCAGAGTGTAGGGTTGAAGCCCCCTCCACAGGGGCCCTCCCAGGCACCCCATCCCAGTGCTGGGGTTTGGGCACAAGTTGTGGGGGGAGTGGCAAATGATGGTTTTTTTAATCTCAGAACTACGTTCAGGGGACCGTGGGGTGGGGATGAGAAGGAAGCCCTTCCCCAGGCCCGGTCAGGTTGGCCTATGACCACTTCCTGTCCCCCAGGCAGAGGACTCCTGGCCACACGCGCATGTAAGATCTGACCCCACCACCCCTGGAGGAGCTGCTGAGGAATCAAAGCCATCGTCATGGAGTTCGTGATGAAGCAGGCCCTGGGAGGTAGGAAGTAGGGCCAGTGGGGGCTGCGCCCAGCTGGCTGCCAGCTGCCCACTGCAGTGGCATGCAGACACACGGGGTCCCAGGCAGCACATGGTCACCCTCCGACTTCACACGTGCCTGTTTGTCGCACATCCCCTGCAGATACGCCTGGACAGAGGTCTAGGGGGAGGTGTGCTGGTGCGCTGTGATCCGGCAGAGCCCACTGGACAGCTCCGAGGTGGGGCTGAGGGCTGAGCAGCAGCATCTGCTTGGCCCTGTGAGGACACAGCATGGGTCTCAGGGGCACCAAGGGCCAGTCCTGACTGACAGGGTCTGGTGTCCTCCATGGGGGCTTGCTCTTGGTGAGCAGAGCCACGGAGGTTGCAGGAGCTGGAGCGGGATTCGGGGGACAGAGCTGGACCCAGGCATCCAGCAAGGGCCTGGCGGGTGCCACCCAGAGTGGGGATAGCAGCATGCACGTGAAGCTAGGTCTGGCTGAGCACAGGGTCAAGAGAAAGGCCTGGAGTGGCTTGTATGACCGTGGCCCCCTTCCACACAAGGTGGCCTTGGGTGTGTGTTGGGCAGATACCCCTCCAACCCTGCTGACTCCTATTAGAAAGGAATCCTGTGCCTACTTGGTTAAAGGCCGTCATCGTGGCCAGAGACCCTGGCCCAGGAGAGGAAGGTGGTATAGGGACAGTGGGTTGAGACCCTGGCCCTGGAGGTAGGAGAGGCGGTGGACTGAGGTCCACATGGCACAGATGCATCCTGGCAGAACACTGCGGTCAGCCCAGGCCCTCAGCGCCCTTCCTGTGTGCTCTAGCTCCAGGCACAGTGCCAGCCTCAACTCCCCACGACGGGCACCTTGGCCAGCACCTGTCTCTGCCAGTAGAGATGTCTTCCTTGGGTCGCCTGCATGGGCTGCACCCTGACCTCTGCCACACGCAGCCTGGCACAGTCAGGTTATGCATGACAAGACCAGCATATGGGTGCTGCTGGGGTGGCAAAGGAAGCGCAGCTTCCCCCGAGGTGGGCAGCTGGTGGAGGCTGTCATAGGCTGGGGCAGAGCAGAGGGGCTGGGGCTTCTGTGCTTGGACGGGCCCCCTGAGCTTGGCTCTTGACAATACTGTGTTTTCTCTCACCACAAATTAAATGAGAAGATGATTGGGCCCGGCCTGGAGCCGCACGCCCTGAGGTTTCATGGTCAAGGAGATGCTGCAGGTTGAGTCTAATTACAATGATTACATCACGGGTACATGATTCAGGGAAAACCAGCATCCTGGTGCTGGGAGGGATCTGTGTTCCACCCAGCCAGTCCCAGGCTGTTATAGATAATTAATTAGGTGGCTAATTCAGGCCCTGAGGTGGGCTTGGAGGAGAGCTGAAATATCTGATTTGGCTGTCTACATGGCTGAAATTGGCAGGGTAATTGCCAGCCTGGGTTTCCTTTGTTCCCCGTCAGCCCAAAGTTTCTCCTGCGGCGCCATAGGGCGGGCTGCCTGGGGCGTGGGAGCCGCGGAGCCGGCCTGCAGGCCCCCCAGGTCCCCTGAGCTAGGGCTGCCAGGGGAGGGACTGCATGTGGCTTCCCGGTGACACGTTTTCTGTTCCTATGATTTCCCTCCCTGGGAGGTGTCGTTGAGGTCTGTCAGGAGGAGCGTGCATGAGAGGGAGACCGACACAGGGACGGAGACAGACAGAGACCAGAAGTCCTCTGAGGAGACACCCCTGAGCCCCTGAACTGGAGCTGGGGGGACCCAGCTGGGAAGCCCTCCAGAGAGAGGCAGACCCGGACAGGCAGGGCCCAGATTCAGGGGGACCGGACAGCCCAGAAACAGACGGGTAAAAGACAGAATCCGAAGTGCTGCGGAAGCCCGAGACCCAGGGAGATGTGGGGAAACGGGTGGGGGTGGGCAAGGAGAGAGACAGAGGCGCCTGAGGCTGTCTGGGAGTCGGGCCGAGAGGGCACCTGGGGCCAAGAGGCTCCGGGAGGAGAGGCCAGAGAAAGGCAGGGCGACAGGGAGGGAGACTGAGGAGCCCGAGGAGGCGGGGCGAGAGATGCAGTGCAGGAAATGGGCACAGAGGGACAGAGACAGACAGAGATGTGTCAGAGACAAGCTGACAGAGTCAGGGCCAGAGACAGAGACCCTGCCCCCGCCTCCCGCGGGCACACGGGTGCACACTCGGGAAGGACTCAGCGGAAGGCAGGAGAGGCGGGCCCGGGGGAGGCCTGGGCAGGACTCCACGCAGCCTAATGGCATGATGGCCATCGGAGACTGGCCCCAGCTCTCTGGGCTGCAGGGCAAGTCGTCTGACCAGGACACGCCTTCTCCACTGTCAAGACCATGTCTTAGGCAAGGACTTCGCTTGGGTCAGAGGCTGCAAGGCGGCTGCCCGGTGGGGAATCCCATGTCAGACAGACAAACAGACGGAAAGACAGACAGTGCCCTGGGCCTCCTCAAAGCGTGTGGTTGTTTCTGCTGGGTCTTGTCTACCCTAGGGCTGTGGACCCCTGGACGGTGGAAGGAATCGGTTTCTGGGTGCACCAGGCCTCGGACAAGGTGGTGCCCTCAGTCTGTGGGGTCTGCCCCTGGCCCTCTGCCATCTGTCTTGGGCCCTCTGTCTCTGATCGGCTCACTGGGAGGCTGGCCCAGTCTTTCCATGGCACTCAGGCCTTCCCCTCTGTCCTCAGCCACCCACTCCACCAGCAGCCTCTGCCCAGTCTCTACATCACACTTGCTGGCATGTTCCAGGCACCTGCACAGCCAAGCGGGGCCCCAGGTGAGAGCGCCAGAGAGGAGGCAGATGAGACTCGGTGTGCCAGTGCTGCCAACAGAGTGAGAGCCTGGAGTTCAGGGAGACACGGCACAGAAGGGGCTCAGCGGCAGCACGGACACTGTGCAGTCCCAGGCGACCCCAGCCCTTCCCGGTGACCCCTGCAGACACCTAGCTCTGCAGCCAGTGGCCCAGCCACTGCGAAGCCCTGGCAGGCAGGGTTCTTGCTCTGCCCTGTCCTGTAACAGGCCCTTGCTGAAGGCCTTCTCCTTCACCTACCTGTCCGTTTGGACGCTGGGCCAGCTTCCCTGGGGACCACAGGGGCTTCCTGGGCAGTGAGGGAGGGTGGGAAGGCAGACTGGGGGAGGGGGGCGGCAGGGGGTGCTGCTGGCTGCAGGTGTGGGGCAGGCTGTCCTAGTGTGGTGGTAGGCAGTGGCGATAGGTGCCACCCATTGACTGTGCTGCCCCATTGTGTCCCAGCAGCGCCAGGAGCATTAACCGGTGAGCTCAGACTCCTGGCGCTGAGCTGTTTCTCTGAGGGCAGGTGGCAGCTGTGGCACCTCCCCCTGAGGTGGCAGGGTTTGCCCAGGCCTCCAGCCTCTGGGACCCTGAAGTGGACAAGGGGAGGCTTTTGTGTGGTAGCTGTTTCTTGAGATGCAACCTGAGAAGGGCCAGGTGAGCCCGTGGGAGCATCTGCTCTTAAAGCCTGAATTCTCTGTGAGCTGACAGGGGAAGATGGGCATCTTAGGTTCCTTTCAACTGAGAAGACACGACCCCCAGGCAGCTCTCTGGGGTCAGCGCTGTGAGCACACAGGGCTGGCTAAGGGCCAAATCTTGAGGAATGTGTCCAGCTCTTGGCAAACTTATTTACACCAAGAGAACACCTGGAGACCTTTACAGGTATTGACCACCCCAAGATCCATCAAGACACCCCAAGATTTAGGTTACCCACTGCTCAGTCCCTGAAAGAAGAAAACAGTGATGCAACGTCTGTGGTGGCTACTTGCGTGGCCTGAAACCGGACCAGGTGTTGGGGCCATGTCTGCCTGAATCTGGGGCTCAGGGTCCTCAAGGGTATGATTTGAAGAAACTGTTTTCCCCAGGCCAGGAAGCGTGGTGTCAGAGCTATGTCTGCACTGTGGACAAGTGCGTGGGCACTTGCCAGTTAGCATGGTTGGTGTGGAGTCTCAGAAGGCTAAATCAGGCGCGGTGTGGCAATTCTGGCCCAAACGACCTGGTTCATGGCTGGCTGTCCTGTTGTTCGGCCTCAGTGTGATGTGTTCTGTGGCCGGAACATGCTCAGGTCCTCAGGTCCTCGGGAATGTGCTGGGGCCAGGAGGCTACTCTGGGCTCAGCTGAGAGGCTCACCCTGCAAGGCTGTGGGTGGGTCACTGTCACCCAGACCACCGTGGACAGAGGGAAAGAGTCCATGGACACACCCCCAGGGGCTGCTGGGTGGTGGGCTGTGTGTTGGGACACCCTGGGGGTCTCAGGCTCAGTCTCCAGATGTGTCAAGGCTGCTAGGACCAGACCCTGGAAGAGGGAGGGCACTGCCGCTTCAGGGCCCAAACAGACGGGGTGCGCTGCAGTCAGGGCTCTGCAGGGGAGCCCTGGCCACAGGGACATGCTGGAGGTCTCCTTCCCCATCTGGCACCTGCCTCTGTTAAGTGGCCCAGGTCCACCCCACACTGGCTCCAGGATGTCCAGATGAGGCCTTGTGTGTGCAGATGCTTTGGGGACCCAGCGCTGGGCTCCAAAGGGTCAACACGCTTCTTCCCCAGACCCTTCCTCACCTCGCCTCCCAGGGCCTCTGGTCAGGGCTGGACTCTACACCTAGGCCAAGGCCAGGTGTTCCCATCCTGTCCCAAACCCCAATCCTGAGGGCAGAGCTGGTCCCACCAGCTCCCCCACCCTATCTGTTCTGGGGTCAGCTCACCCTTGAGAGCCAGGCCCCTCCTCCACAGGCAGACAGCAAATACTTGATGATAAGACACCAGCATTTGTTCAGGGGCCACCGCAGGCCTGCATTCAGTCACCCCGGCTGGACACTGACCAGGTGAGGCCAGGTTCTCTGGCATCTGGGAAGATGGTGGGGCTGCAGGCTGAGCTGGGCTGCAGGGAAAGAAGCAGATGGGTTGGGGGACTCCAGAATTCTGCAGGGAAAGATGCTGTTAACTCAAATTACAGAGAACCTTGAATTGAGGTTTGTTTCTCTCATGTGATGAGGTGTCAGGAGATGACTCAGCTGC